AACCACTCACTCATGTGTAAAAGCTGCGCTTGCGCGGCCTCGATCACGTGGTACCATTTTTTTTTTCAATTTGACATTTATTTAGCAAAACAAATACACACATATACTTGATTTTTGCAGAGGACTACAAAGAAAATATAAAATTCTGTTTGAATTGTACCCCTCAAAGTTGTTTGTAGACCTATCATTATATCGTTTATAATTGTTGTCGTCGTTTGGTGGTGCTGCATGTAAAACGTTTTTTAAACGTTAGTTCAACGTCATAAAAAGACCTTTGCGGCACAATTCTTGTAGTCAAAACTTCGACGTTCTGTAAACGTTTTGTGACCGTTTATTAAAGACGAAGACGTAGCGGACTTATTAAAAACGTTTTGTGACCGTTTATTGAAGACGAAGACGTAGAGGACCTCAATAAAACGTTTTGTAAACGTTTAATAAAGTCGAAGACCTAGAGGACCTAATAAAAACGTTTGTGAAGGTTCTGAAAACGTTTTGTGTTTGCTGGGTAAATCGATATTTCAATCACGACGATCTCGCTCGCGATACGTTGCTATGTTATGATTGTAAGAGTTATCGACGCATGCGCGTTTGCCGATTTTAGCTTATCTCGTCAAGTAGGTTACGTAACGGTGAGATAATTACGATCGCGGCGAGGAGGTCTGTACCTTTGATCTTCGCTCGATGTTACTCCTTCTGTTCTATTTTCTCTATGGTAAGAGCATGGTAAGAGATTGTGAATAAACAACTTTACCCGCCCACGTGACCGTTCGTGGACCGCAAGTTCCGAAATGGGAGGTGGCTATCTCTTCTAAACCAGAGTCGGGTGGTTCAACCATATCCATTGCATCTAGAACCGCTGTGATATTCCGTATGTTTGTTTGCACATCATTAAATGCCTCTTTGGCTACCTTCGTATCACTTCGGTCAAGGACACGATTAAGACGGTCCCTTGCCCTTGTAAGATGTCCTTTGAATGACCGGTACTTTGTCTCGAGCTCTGCAAAGCTGAGACCATCAAATCTTCTCTCATCCGTCATATTGGATCCACTTTACTAATCCGGACAACAGACGAAGACACTGTATTAAGACAACTTTGACCTTTTTTACGATGACGGTAAAGTCTACAACAAAACAAATAAACAACTATTAAATAAAAGACAATTAAGCAATACTACAATTCAAAGCTGCCACGTTAACATTATGGCCTACAAAGATAACAAATCAACGTTTCAATTATTGTTTCTAGTACAATAATCAATGAAAGCGCAACAGCAAAGTATCGCCTCAATAATTTTGTCATCAGATGCACACCATACTTCTTCATATCAACCGCACGTCGCCTCCAGGCAACGATCATCTCTTCCCATTCTGGGCCTAGGTTAACTTAATCAATTTCTTTAAAACAATAAAAACATAAAACTCAAATAAACACAGTAACTCACGGAGTCTTCCAATGTCAAAATATGTCCGGAGACGAATAATAGATGAGTGAAACGGCGTCGCAGAGGTAAATTACTAATTTATAAACATTGTTTAGCACCTAGAACACTGTAGGCTAGCGTACGTACTGACTTCTGTCTGCCTTGTTTATCTTTTCAATACTCTTTGATCTTATGGAGCGCAACATGCGCACAAAATAATAAGAAATCCCGTAATAATGGGTTAAGGCATCCATTAAATAATACATTTGTTGGTTGATTCAAGCATTCATTGATTAATACAGTTGCTGGTTTGTTAAAGCATTTATGTGTAATACAGTTGTTCGTTGCTTCAAAATACCATTGAGTAATGCAGTTGTTGGTTGTTCAAGCATCCATTGAACAATACAGTTCTTGAGTTGGTTAGCTGAAGGGGCATCAAATATTCAGTTATTGCTTGGTTCAAGCACTCATTGAATAATACAGTTGTTGCTTGGTTAAAACATCCATTAAATACTACATTTGTTGGTGGATACAAGCATTCATTAATTAATACAACTGTTGGTTGGTTCAGGCATCCAATGAATAATAGAGTTGTTGATTGGTCCTAGCATCAAATAAACAATGAAGTTGTTAGGTTGGTTTGCTGAAGCATCCATTGAATAAGACAATTATTGGTTGGTTCAAGCACCCATTGAATAATACAGTTGTTGGTTTGTTAGAGCATTTACTGTATAATACAGTTGTTGGTTGGTTCAAAGTACCATTCGGTAATGCAGTTGTTGATTGGTTCCAGCATCCATTGAATAATAAGTTTTTTGGCATTGGTTGGTTAAAGCATGCATTGAGTAATGCAGTTATTGGTTGGTTCAAGAATCCATTGAATAAAACAATTGTTGGTTGGTTCAAGCACCCATTGAATATTACAGTTGTTGGTTTGCTAAAGGATTTACTGTATAATACAGTTGTTGGTTGGTTCAAAATACCATTCGGTAATGCAGTTGTTGATTGGTTCAAGCATCCATTGAGTAATGCAGTTGTTGGTTGGTTCAAGCATAGAGAAAATAGTTCCATTTTCTCTATGATTCAAGCATTCATTGAATAATATAGGTTTCGGTTGGTTCAAGCATGGACCTATTAAAAGAAGGACATACAACGTTGTATTTCCCTTTGATCAATCATCTTTTCCGACAAGATAAGAGAGGGGTATATTTATCGGAATAAACTATGAAAAGATAAGCTCGATACCGTTATTTCTGGGCATGCGCATTAGGCTTTCATTCGGCTGCCTGGTTCTCCGCGATCGAGACACACACATTAAACTGTTGAAAATACCAGGTCCATGAAAATACGAATACAGTATGGACGATTTAGATTTTTGCATCAACGATGCAGAGATCGATAATAGAAACGCAAAATGCACTATGTATGCAAACAGAAGTCAGAGGATAAAATGATTGCATGTGATGGTCCAAACTGTACTAGGGCCTAGGCCTAGTAATACGTGGTACCACTACTTCAACTGCATAGGCTTGACACCAAATGAAATAGCCTTCCTAGCGATGACCTGGGCTTGTAAACGGTGCGCAGTCGCTGCTTCAGCATGAGCGGGTGACAGTAACCAGCAGGGGCCTAGCTCAGAGAAAATTTTTTAAATTTTGCCTAATATGGGCTAAACCATGGACCTGTAGTATTAATAATTTTGGTATTTGTTTGATTGACTTCTGTTTTCATACCTACTTTTGTGTATGTTATGTTTTTTATTGACCAGTTTAATTGATGCCTGGAAATTTATTTTCACAAACCTAGATTAATAAATACTGCAGGTAGCCATATTTATATATGTACTGTATTTTTTTTTGTGTCCTAATTTAAAGGCAGATAAATGTAGGCCTAGGTGTAATCGTGTGATGGGGTCGTAACTTAATTTTATAGTTGAAGTTCTGTTGAATCCAATACAAAAAACACCATGCAGTAGTTAAATTATTTGTATTTCCTACTTTTTAAAATTATTTTAATACAGTAATTTTATATTTATTTTCAGAAAAAAAAACAGACTGAAAGGCCTGCAAGTGTTTACACCAAAGAGGAAATTGGAGGTGCACTGAACGCTTTAGAGAGTCACCAATGGATGTAATAATAATATTGTAAATGTACATGCAGATACTGTACAAAATTTTTTTAAACAGTACCTTAAAATCTAAGAAAAAAAAGCTTACGAAAAGGAATTGCCCAAGTAAATGTGTTGATGTACATGTATGTGGAAATCTGCCTGATAGTGCTGGAATAGTAAACGCTTGTGTAAATAAATAATGTAAATAATAAAAATACAATATTATGTTGAGATATTGAGGTACTAATTGCTTCTTGAAATGATGAATATTACATAATTATGTATTCAGAGATGGCAGTAATAGCACAATAAATTAATTTAAAAATATTTATTAAGACTTTATTTTTCAAAGGCCAGTGTGACATTTATCACATTTAATGCATCAAATCTCTTTTGTTAAAGTGGTGGCTCTGAAAAGGGCCCTTTGGTTTGGAATTGCTGTGCTGTATTAGTGCGTCTTCTTGTAGTTTGGTAGTGGTGCTATCAGTGAAGTGGTTCATTGTTGCGATTAGAGTTTACTGTTGTGTTTGTTTAAAAAATGACTGATGCTTGAGTTGGTAGTCCAGCTTCTTTTCTTTGAATACTCAATCACCGGGTCTTGACAGAATTTCTCACTTAAGATGTAGAGTACGGTACTTGCTTAACTCAAAAAAATTCACTGTGGAAAAGCAAAATTATGATTCATTTATTCTATACCATACAATTAAAACATTATCATCAGCAATACAGTTTCATCAATAATGATTTTATTTCCTGAACAACAACATACAAAGGGAAAAACAAGCAAAATATTAATTATTATAGATACCCATACAAAAAAATTCTATAGAATTCTATCCAAAAAAAAAACTATAGAATGTCTATAGCATAATTGTTTAGAAAATCTATAGAAATAACTATAGAAGCCCACTATAAAAAGTATATTAAAAAGCTATTAAAACTATATTAAAAGCTATTAAAACTCTATTAAAACTATATTAAAAATCTATTAAAATTATATTTAAAAAAACTATAAAAAATTTATAAAAACTCTATAAAAAATATATTAAAACTATATTAAAAGACTTACAAACCTATAAAAATTATATAAAAAACTATGAAAATTCTATTAAAAATCTATAGAAAGTCTATGAATATTTTATATTTAAAAAAAACCTTTAAAAAACTATAGAAAATCTATAAACAATTTTATAAAAACCACTTATAAATCTATAAACATTTTATAGAAAAACCTATAAAAATACATTAAATATGCGAATAGAAATTCTATACAATTGTATAGAAAGTGTATATAAATTGAACGATTTTATAGAAAAAATCTGTGTATTCTATAAAAAAAAAATGTGGGTGTTGTGTGTTTTTGGACAATTCAACTGGTCTTTAACTGGCCCCAGTTTTAATTGGTTTGCAATGGTCCCAGTTCCACTTGGTAACAATGGCTTTAATCAACTTCTGCAGACTTACAAAATACACTATGAGTTCATAATTATACAAACCATAATTTCTTTAATTTAAAACACCAACAAACATCATACGGTAGGGACATTACTTCCCTAGGGTCTCATTTACTAGCATACCCTTTCATTTATAATCGTTTTGCTAATGTCTTACTGCTAAACATACTGTACCTCAAATTCAAGGCTGCTTTACAGTCCGGTTAAATAAGCATTTTTTTCGTAATGTAGTCATAATATAAGAGTTTATTATATAATACAATATTCAAGAACCATTTGTGTTACAGGTGTGCATAAACCAGCATTCTTTGTGATATTGCAGCAGAAACGGTCCATAAACATGCCTTTTCTTGTCCGATGGTACCAAGCTAATTAGTATGAATTATGCCGTTGAACAAATCTATTTTGAAATATTGAATCACTGTGACTTGTACTAACATTTTTCGGAGTTCACTCTTCCTGAAAGATATAACAAAACAAAATCTTTAAAAAGAATAATAATGGTAAACTTATACAGTATATAGAGCGCATATTAGAGAAACTGCTATTAAATGTATTACATCCCTTTATTATTGTATTGAAATAGGAGTAATATATATATATGTAGCTAATGACAGACTAGCAGTTACTTCTTTTTTAATCAAAAAAAAAAAAAATTTTTTAGTTATCAAAACAGCTTAGCCTACATTACAATTTCCATATCACTTAAGGCCTATATAGGCCTAATTATACACATTAAATTTGATTAAACTCTATCGTGTAAACTACAGCATCATCTTTAGCATGTTGTTAATAATTAATAGTACAGGACAGTAAAAATAAAACGTCAACAAAACATTATATTCACCTTTAGTAAGTCAGGTAATTTTCTGTTCCTTCACGTAGATACGTCTTCAAACAAACATTAATATGCTTTCCTACTACAATGATTGAGTTGACTGATTTTTCACTTACAGTAGTTACTGAGACTTGAGAATCCTGAAATAAAGTCACCGTTTATGTTGTTAGTATAGGCCTTTTGATTACATTAACTTTCTCCAAATAATGATACAATTCTTTACACCCCCCCCCCCCCGGTTAACCCTAAACCCATTATTTTATTCCCCCCCCCGGTTAACCGTAAACCGATTATTTTATTAAAGCACTATAGAATGTCCGGTAATTTTCTGTTCCTTCACAGATACGTCTTTAAACAAACATTAATGCTTTCTACTACAAGATTGAGTTGACCGGATTGAGTTTTTACTTAATTACAATAGTAACTGAGACCCTGAAATAAAATCACCACTTATGTTAGTATAGGCCTAGAGATTTAATACATTAACTTTCTGCAAATAATGATACAATTCTTTACACCACCCCCTCCCCGGTTAACCCTAAACCCATTATTTTATTAAAGCATCATGGACATTAGTCAGGACAGGGCCCAAATGCAATTTACCACTCTTCTTATGGCATGCTAGACTATAGGGCAATTAACTTACAGCTTGGCTAGGCCAGCAAAAAGGCCCAGGTTCTAGACCTAGCCCTATATCCTCAATGGCCTAGAGAGAACCTCAGTTCTGTCTGTCTCTGTACAGCCGCTAGGCTAGTATTACCTGTAGTAATTATCGCCTATATACTGTGATAATACTCCAGAAATATACGAACACAGCAGTATCCACAGCGCAGGCAAGTATACTCCTGTGTAGACTCGGACACCAGATACACATAAACAAATCCTGTAGCGTTAGCTAGGTATGATGATGCGTCTTGCATGAAGTCCAGTGTACGAGTGACGACAATTCCCCCAAGATCTCGGCGATCCCTCCTCTGCACACCTGAAGGCAGGATATGCAAATACACAGATGCCGGGGTTAGAGGTCGTTACCGTTGATCGGTCTCTCGAACAGACGGCGGCCGTCACTACATAACGTTACAGCTAGGTCTAGGCCTTACGCTAGGCCAGGCCTCTTCATCTACCACTACTACTACTAGGCCTAGGAGCAGGCTAGCGTGTCTGCTAGAGTGGTAAACTAACTAAATAATAAAACAAAACCAACTCTCACTTGATAGTGAATACAGTACTGCTAAAATACTTCCAAGGAGTATGTTTATAACTGCCTAACATCATGACAAGTCCAGAGAAAAAAATTCAAAATACTACCGCTAATTCCGTTGGCTCTACATGAAGTGACAATTCAAATCAGCTGATTGGTGAAGTGACCAATCAGATTTGTGCAATTCGACACTAACATTAATTGGTTGTTTGGTGGGCTATCACAGTAAAGAGGTTAGGCTGTTGATAACATTTTGCTGCAACCTATAAAGCATTGTTGTTAGGTGAATATGTGAGGGATAAGTTTAGGGGCAGACCCGCTCCCTCTCTCCCCCCCCCCCATAAAATTCCCATAAGGCTATGTATTAGCGGTTCCAGAAATTTTTCATAGAGTTTGAACAGATTTTATATATACATTAATCCATAATTTTGTTTATAGATATTTAATTTATAATATAATAATTATAGTTTATAATATTTAAAATAATTTTTAATATTTCATTTACAGATAAACACTTCCATAGCGTTCGTATTCATTTTATATATACTTTCTATAGAGAAACAATTTTACAGATTATAAATGTTTCCATAGAGTTTTTATATATATTTTATATATATTTTCTAAAAAAATACAGGTAAGGACTATAATTTTTTATAGAATAAATATAGAAATTTTTTAGTTTTATTATAGAGAACTTATCAAATCATTTGTATAGAATATTCTATAGGCTTTCTATAGAATATGCAAGATGTAAAACATGTTGGTAGGATATACTGGACAGACACGAATGTGTCAATACAATATTGAATGAAACAAAAAAAAAAACATAGAAATTACATTAAAAATGTTTATATAGTATGTTATAGAATTCTATAGAAACTAGTTCTTCTATAAAACAATTTTATAGAAAATACTAATTTCTGTAGAAATTGATTTGTCTCTATAGAAGGTCTATAAAGTTCTATAGAATTTTTATGTATGGGTAGACCTAACAGTCAGTGATGAATCGCCTCATCTTACACAGTAGATGATCGTTGCCAATGGCAACATTAGCATTCAGGAGTGTCTCCTGATGAGTAGTTAGTCGTAGCCTAAGCCTATGGCTGCAGAATGCATTATAAAGTTGTTAATACTGTAATAATATATAAAATAGTTTAAATCAGTATGAGGTGAGTTGAATCTAGTACTGCATAGTTTGTTATTGTTACACAGTATTTTGATGTGTTGCAGGTTTTACCGATAGAATAAAGAGGTGAAAGCACCAAGTCCAAACAGATCCTGTATCAATTTGTCTAACCCGTATTACTATTGAATAAATGACACGATTTGGGCGCGATCTCCAAATTATCCCAGACGGAAAAAACGCGTCTAGGTCAACACCCTATCACGAACGTATCTGAGAAATCAACCGTTCTAATCACCACGCTATATGAATATTCATTTGCTACACCTTGAATTACGGCTCGCGTCTGGACGACGGTGACTCGTTTGGACGCTTGTGATCATTTGAACGATTTTTTATTGTTTTCTTATACATAAATATGGCTATACTTTCTCTATGCTTATATGAAGATTTGTAAATTATATGATGACAACGTGCCTGGAGGTCCATGGCGCAGTATGCGCTAAGCGAGTTCCACTGGAATTCGCTTTGTACGCCGCTTTGTAGATAATAGAACTACGTGGCGACTCTAAAAATAGCGCTGAAGTTTTCTTTGCAAAAGTGAAGGAGGGTACATTGGCATTACAAATCACAAACATACTTCAAATAGGGCCTATACTTTAAGTGCCATGGTAAGTCGGCGTTACATTCTGGCCTAAATATAAAATAAAATCTAGACCTAGGTAGGTAGTCTGCCTAGGGAGATGTAAAAAATTATTATATATTATTAATTTTTTACATCTCCCTGGTCTGCCTATCTTTTTTTATCCTCGCGCACGGCTGGTTACTCACAATTTTCTTAGGCTACTCTACTGTGTATACTATGCAGCAGTTCATTTTCTTTAGTATAAGTTCTACTGTAGGTCATCCGAATCGAGAGATGTATATTTGGTTGACTAGTAAATTTAGATAAAGACAATAACTTGTCATATTAACAACAAATCATGAGCTTTAGTTTTGATTTATTATTTAACTGATCGAACTACAGAGCGCTCTTTCAAATAAAACTGCAGCGATCTCTATGGAACGCCAAAAGGACAAACCACAAGTGGCACAGTCCAAAACTAAAGTGGCACAGTTGAAAAGTCGAGTGGCGCAGTGCAAAACTAAAGTGGCGCAGTGCAAAACTAAAGTGACGCAGTGCAAACCCAAATGCGTGAGCCGCCACTTGACTTTCGCACTGCGCCACATGACTTTTGCACTGCGCCACTTGTGGTTGTCCTTTTGGCGATATCACGCCAAAAGGACAAACAACAATCACAGAGCAAAACTAAAGTGGCGCAGTACAAACTCAAATGCGTGTGCCGCCACTTGACTTTTGCACTGTGCTACTTTAGTTCTGCACTGCGCCACTTGACTTTTGCACTGTGCCACTTATCTTTTGACAATATTGTATGGAACGCTATTGCTATCAACATGAAGATAAACTTATTATTACTATATTATTTTTACTGTTATTATTATTGTTATTATTATTATTATTATTATTATTATTATTATTATCGCGAAAAGACCACCTTCGTCGGCATTTCGCAAGACTGGGTCGGGTCCAGATGTCGGTAGAAAAAAGGGAACTCAAATCCTGTATAAATGACATAAATTGAAATGACTTTGGGAACTATCTTCTGTCCTGTCACCCTCCAATCTTTTGAGATACTTAAAAGCCAATAATAATATTAGCCTAAAATTCTTCTAAATGGCACCCATCCCAAAAGGAGAAAAAATGGCTGCTGACTCTATCTGGTACACCCTTTAGGGCGGGGCCGCGTAGGGCCCCCGGTTGGGCGGCGCTGTTAGCTTTCATGACGTATTTTGATATATTTTTTTTTACACATTCAAATTTTAAGTTTATGCATCGTGATTTGACTAATTGATTTCAACTAAAATATCCAGTGGCGGATTCAAGGGTGGGGGCAGCCGGCCCGGGCCCATTTAATGTTTTTGTTTTGCTGCTTTTTGTAAAGAAGTACTACAGAGAAAAGCAGTTAAGAAGTTTCTATGTAGTCTCTTAAATTTCTTTCCATTGTTTCAATTGACTTGATTGTTTTCTGTTTAAACTCAGCTCTCATTCTTTTAAATATATGTGATTTTGAATTGAATTATAATAGTGTTATAGTTTAAGTTTAATGTTAATAACATTTGCAGAGGCATAGTAGACCCTTTGCATAGATCATTATTATACCGCAATTTCTCGTATTACGATTCAATAGACGAATCGGTCCAAGAGGGGGGTAATGTAACAAAATTGGTACAGTCTATTGCTTAATTATACCCTTGTATAAAATGGATTAACTCAACTAATGCTGATTGGCTCTTGCCTGATAAGTTAATTTAAATTTCTTCCTAAAGTTATCATTCTTAATGCTGATTGGCTCTTGCCTGATAAGTTAATCAGATTTCTTCCCAAAGTTATACTAAATGCTGATTGGCTCTCACCTTATATGTAAATTAGAAAAGTTTTAAAGTATTTGGGTAAAGAAAAATTAGGGGAGATCGATTGGCGACTCCACTTTGATCGGACGTGAACTCAATATTGTCCTGTTTCATATCTAGTATCTACATTACTGTACCTGTAATAATTTGTACGTTGCTTTGGTAAGTTTATTACTTATTGAAATAAAAGAGTCACAAGGCTCATCACACAAGTTAAACTGTGTCATTAATCTTTATTAGTTATCGTAAGTCGACGGAATATCACTGTCGCCGAATCACACACTTGATCGAGGCCGAGAAACGTCACAATATATTGCCTTGGTTTGGCTCTGTAATCATTAGTGGTCGTGGGACTAGTTTGGGCCCTACCTAAGCTGGTCGAACGTTTCGTTTGGGTCTATTCCCTAGCTGCACTGATGAGGCCTGGAAGGCCGAAACGGATCCGTCTGCAGATATTGGGATTCCAGTGGATGCTTAGTTTATTTTGTCATTCTGATCGGATTTTCTCTACTGTTCCGTTTTAATGTTAAATAGTTTAATGTGGCCGTTTGCTGTTTTACGGGTTTTTCCCATTTGCCTTTTAAAATTTATATATTATTAAAGAATCTCTATTGAGATCCAGCGGGCCGCGATTTTTTTTTTTTTTTTTTTCGTGAAGAGCCAAGCATAGGGAAACATATAAAGCGCTCTGATTGGCTAATGATAAGATAAAATCATCGCACAAGTTGGCACAAGAGTCAACCAACTCGCACTCGAATACGGATACGGTGCGAGTGAGAGTGATCCCAAGAAAGTATAGGTTTGATTCACCAATTGCAGACTATGGTTTTTCTCAGAATAAGTTTTCACTATTTTTACTGTATACGTAACCCACAACGATCTAGGTAAAATTGTAAGGAGGGATGCATCTCATGACCCTATCTAGGCCCAGTCTAGGCAAGGCCTACCCTTGGCGTAGATGGAAGATGGACCTACCATCCCTATCCCATATCATCAATCATGATGCAAGAAAGATCAATGCAACACTAGGCCTAGTTTGCATGACAAGTTCGCCTTCTTTCTCTGAAGAAGTACCTAGCAGAGCAACCTGTTTAAGGCCCAAATAGTTTATTTTCCCCTTTATTTCTACACCTCAATACTGTAATATAATAATTATTAATAAATATTTACCCTACTACCATACAACTATACTACTACTAAGGCTTAGACCCTGGCCTATTGTCCACAGCTCTCCAATAATTTTTATTATAATTATAATTTTTAAATTATAATGTTATTCTTGACTAACAGCAAACTTGGCAATATGAGATGCCCCCTTACTTTATTATTTAGTTGCTCAAATTATTTGTTGTAATTTTTTTTTATCACTTTGATTTTTCCATTTTGTACTTTTTTCTGATGTTACAACATTTTAATTGTATAGTCTTTTATTATAGGCCCCTATATATCCTTTTTTAATGAATATTATGTAACACATGTAACATGCAATTTGGTCTTTGGTCACTTATATTATTGTTTGAGATGTGATGTTTGAATAAATAAAGTAATATTTTTAACCAGCCTACAAATAAGTAGCAACATAGGTTTTTTTTTATAAAAAATTTCCTCAAACTGCTGATGTTGTTATGTCATGACATAATAAATGGATGCAAAGTACAGCACAATTAAATACTTGAATCTGGTGGGTTTTTTTAGGTCCATGATACCAAAGAGTGGGAATATGGCCTTTTGGGATGCTTCTGGATGGAACGCTGACTGATAGACATTGCTAATAGCAGAATGCATAGAATCATCTCATCACTACTTCAACACAGCCAATTCCAGATGAATGCCTAACCAAAATACATGAGCAAATGTACAATGTAAAAGCCAGATGTTGTCTGTAATGTCAAAATAACTTTAGAAAATTTAGGAAAGAAACAGTTGGATAATGGAAGGTTGTGCGAAGAGAACATTTTACTGTAAACTGAGTACTTCTTGAAAGCAAAAAGAGAGAAAGTCTCCCATAACCTAGTGTATACAATAAAACCAAAACCTTGAAAAAACTTATTCTTCTAAGTCATCTCATAAGTCAATATATATCTTGTCTACATGATCTGGTTTAAGCCAACCACATATCTGTCTCTTATACACATCTAGATGTGTATAAGAGACAGGGGCCACTCAGCCCTGTCTCTTATACACATCTTTATATCAAACAATCAAAAATATTAATCGAAATTCCCTCTTTCGACATTGTCTAAATCCGTTACAATTTAATTATTTTATCAATATTTTGACCAAATTCGGTAATAGAGGGCGGCCTTTTCATACGTTTTAACTGGCTGCCATTTTGTTGTTGTTCGTGAGATTTGCATTTTTTTTAAATTATATTATTATAGATATTATATTTTCTACAAAATTTTCGTAATGATCGAGGTATCGTTGGTCAATTTTGAAGGGCAAGACGTTTGAAAGGCCTACAGATTTCAACCCACACTTGCGTTTTTATAATTGTCAAAACACCTACTGATACAACGGATGATTTGATCATTACAAACGTTAATATAAAACAAAGAGTATAATATCTAGAATCGGAAAATGTAAAAAAAAAATGCAAATTGTATTGGTTTTAACACAGAATGGCGACCGATTTAATGTATAAAAAAGCCCGCTGTCTATGGGAAAATTGATCATAATATTTATTTTAAAAATATATTTTAACGGTTTAAATTTAAAAAGAAATCTCATATAAATGATAGGCAAACTTACAGTAGGTCCATTTCATATTTGTAAGTCATTGACAGTTGAATGAGAATAGGTAATGAAAAATAATTATTTTATTTTATTGTTCTAGAACCATTACATTATATGGCTCTATTTACTGTAGTAATGAGCTGCACTATACTTCTAGGAAGTGGAGGTATTCTGTGAATTGTATGACAAGGGAAAAATAATATTCTCTATTTTGTAATACAGTACTGTAGGTTTGAGCATTACAAGTGCTGAGATATAAAGAATTATTTCTGGGGGATTTTTTACTCTCATTTAAGATTACATGCATATGTAGGATTGTCAGTATTGATCGAGATAGAGTACTAGTATTAGTCTGAAATTCAACAATTTTTGCAATGTGAACCTACCTTAAACATGTTCTGTTAGCCGTATAAACCCCGATTTGCTACCAATTTTACTGCTTGCACACACTGTTTTCTGTAGAGTTAAAGTTAGATGTTGTCACACATCAATTACTGCATTCTTTCACAAGACAAATGAACATTGTCCCTGAGCCCAAACTCATCAATAATGTAATTAAATATAATATAATCAATATTCAATGAGATTCAAGAGTTATTCTCCATTAAATTTAATTGTAAATAATTTTATTTGATGTGTATTTTTAAATACAATTCTATTGAATGAAACATTATTTTATTATTTTTCTAGTTTTCTAAATAAAATTTAAATGTTTTATCTATATGTAATACATATTCATGTTTGTGTTTGGTCGAATAAAAGAGTTGGCTAAAAAATGACCGGAAATGCCATTTCTGACCTTTAACATAATTTATATATGATAGTCATTATTATCTCCGCAACCACTGGTGGTAGAGAGTTACTTTTAGGACCAAATTGTTCGAAACATGCACATTTCTATTTTCTCTTAAAGTACAAAAGTTCCGAAACGAATTTGTGTAGGGCATACACAATAGAATCAGGCAGGCTAGCCCCTCCCCCCCCCACCTCACACTTGGCTGCTTAAGTCTGCTGTAGACGACAGGCGGATATTTTTCTCTTGTGTTTTTTTTTGTATCATTTCAATGAAGATACTGAGTAGGCCTACAACATAGGACTACACATACGCCCCCCCCCCCACGTCCGACATTATGTCGGCACTGCTTCTGGAACCACTGCTGATTTCAGGGCAAGCCTATTTGGTAGTTATTTTCATATACATGGTTCACTGATTGTTACTTCGGGCGTATTTTACTGACTCGATGATATTCGACAACAAAACCTTTTGCCTTTTGGTATATATTTATTATCTGTTATCAAGATCATCAAGACATAACATTACAGTCCCACAACAGCTAAATTAAGGCATAGTAAAACGGTGTATTCGACTTCAAATGGACGCTCTCCATGAACAACATGTACTCCTACAGTATGGCGTCCCTAGTTTTCAACGCGCAACACTCGTTCTTTACCGCACTAAACTTTCGGGACTCTACCATTATACTACAAGGTATGTTATATATGTATGAACCAACAGAGGGCCTCCTATATGAATCTATATTCATCACACTGATTATGAACTGAGCATGTGCAGTAAGCATTCGCTTGGCTGCAACAGCGTTCGTTGACTGTATTGTATAACAAAAGCAGGCAACACTCAACGAATCACCGGCATGGAAGAAAAAAGCAAATCTCAAATCTCGTTTCCAATCTCCGTGTATAGTTGTCTCAGTATGCATCAAACTCTATCTTTTCAGAAAATCTCCAAGTGTAAAAATGCCTAATTTAGCTAATTACACTAATAATTGCCCAATGTCACAAAACAGCAAAAATGGAATTTTCGTTTTCACGAAGTGACACAAAATTGTGTGTCTGTTCGTGAAATCATTTTTCAGCGATATCTGGGGTTTAACGTTTTCACGAATGGCACTATCGACGAGCAAAATATATTCCTACATATTGGTATTAGGGGGAGTCCTGTATAGGTTTCGAGCGTTTTGTACGCGGTGGATTTCGCGCGAATAATCATAATATTTGCCACAGTGTCAGCCGTCGTATGTGTAGTAGTGACGACAAATTGAAGTCAAGAGGAAAAGATTGTGTTTTCCTTGTGAAAATTTGATTATTTCTGTCTTATCAGTATGTTTTAGGCAAGGCCTAGGTTTATATACTGTAATTAAATACCATTGGCTAGCATGCCAGTCATGGTCGAGGGTTTAAATATTATTATCTAGCCTAGCTAGGGGCCTAGCCTAGACAGACCCGGGTAGGCCTATAGGTCCTTCTCTAGATCTATCAACTAGGCAAATCTAAGATAAGGGCCGAGGAACAGCCGGCAAGGTCGAACTAGCCCATCTAAGTCTAGGCCCTATCTGATAAAAATGTTGCCTAGGCCTAGCTAAGCTTGTAGTAAGCCTAGACTAGATTCTTATATATTTTTAATTAACCTAATACTGTCAATATGGTTATTTTGTTTATGTGTATAGGCATAGGCACAACTGCTAGCCTTATCTACGAGGGCATAAGAAGACCACGTTCCAAGCCAAGTTCCAGTAAATAAACAGGGATACTAAAGAGAAAGACAATGAAGAAAAGGCGCTCTCAGAAAAGGTAAGTAACTTGACTAAAATGCTAACTATACTGTTACTAAAGGAAGAAGGAGTATCGCTTATAGAGATGGAAACAAAATTGAATTTTGTTGTCGGACTAGAATATTTTTTTATTAGACATAGTGGGTATAATATCTTATTGTAAACAAACTTTCTAGTAATTTCTACAAATGATTTTTTGTTTATAAATTACTAACAATTTTGTTACTTAAATCTAATTATAATACTGTGGCAGAAGGCGTGAGACTGGCTTACAACATCTTGCAACATGCTTAAGTATCCTACGCTGGCTGCAACAAGCTGAAATTGTGTCCTGCCGATGTCAATGAATGATTGTTTGCGTTTCAGTGAGTGTAACTACCCTACTGTTTTGTGCATGGCTGTAATATTGAAGGTCATTGCTATTACAATAAGGTTGTGACACATCACATTTTCAAAAATTGTACTTGGTTACTTTATACTGTCTCCTTTGAAGAGCAGGATGTGACTGTAAGTTTTTAAAAACTGTTATAAAAGCCCATAGTAAGTATGGTCCTTCATATAGAGTAGTCAGTATAGTGCCAAGAATTATTAGAGCTGACAGCATAGGTTCAAGAAAATAAGAAGATATTTTTTGCTACATTAAAATTCAAATTATTATGGAGTATTACAAAAGAGCAAAAAAAAAAAAAACCCTTTTCATTTTAGAGATGCAGTACAGATTAATAATTTTAAAAAGCTCAATAACACTCAAAATACTATGTAGGACAACTAGATCAGTTAAAACTTAACCTTTGACAATCAACTATAAATTAATCATATTTGTATGGTATTTAATATAGTGAAGATGATGGGTCTTTCTCGTTTTGCACCAGGATATTGAGTAGAAGTTATGTTTTCCATATGATTCATCTCAATATATAACTTGCAATTTTGTTTTTAGTAGTTTTATTTTACAATTTATATTTACTATCTGTAATCATATGTCCTTTTTACACCCATTACTACCTATTACACTTACACACATAGTTGCATTGTAGAGTAATCATAGTTTCTTTAATCTTTTACAGAAACCAGCGGCTGTCCAAATGTGATGAAGTTTCCAGACTCCCAGCATGAAACATGCAAGAATTTTAGTTGTAATGCAGAGGTGTTGTCAGCATGTACTAAGTGTTTATGTTTACTGTGTTATGACCGCTTTATGTTAAATGATGAGTGTAAGTCACACAATAACTATTTTAATATTTGCCAGCCTAAATGAGGACCAGAAGGGACAACGAAAAAGGTACCGAGAAGGTAGATAAGCCAATGTATCCTGAAGTTGCAGTAATAGAAAATACCTGTGATAGTGATGATATGACTGGACCAACATCAAAAGCTACTACACTAGCATCAACTACAGATGTCTTCCTTATATGCAGAAACACCAAATGTATTGCTTGGTCTGGATGGCCTTCTGTGTCCTGTTGAAACATCAAACATAACTGAGGTATTCGAATTCGATTTTCCCATTCTCTCTCAAATTCCTGTAGCAGAAAGCCTCTTTACAATTGGTGAGTTAGATATGATTTTTTTTTCTATGGTTTCAAGTTCTCAAACAGAACTACTGGGTACGGATGACTCTGCTAAAACAGAAAAATTGTCTGTTTCAAATTTTGCTGCCGATAAGGAATCAAGACCATTCTCTCCCAAAATATCTGAGCCATTCAGAGTAGATGTTCCCATCCCCTCTCCAATTCATGTAAAAGAAAGCATCCCTTCAATTATTCGTGAGTTAGATATGGATGTTCCTACAGTTTTAAGTTCTGAAGCAGAACAGCTGGATAATGAGGACTCAGCAGAAGATGAAAGATCGTCGGTTTCAGATTTTGCTGTTGATGGGGAATCATGACCACACTCTCCTAAAAATTCCAAAACAAGTAAAAGCAGAAATTTTTCTTTTAAGAAAAAAAGAGATAGAGGTGAGGCCTACGAAACAGAAAAAACAAACCGACTAATGCCAGCACGAAGAGGTTACCTACAAATTTCTATGTGCACACACTGTGTGAAGAGAGGATTCGATTGCAGTAAGATTACAAATGCAGACCACCTTACAATAAATAAAGCATTGTTCGGCATGGGCGATTTGCAAAAGCAAAGAGAATGGATCAGTAGGCATGTATCAGCAGAGCCGAATTCAAAAGGGATTAACCACTACTCCTTTTTTTCCCAAAAGTAAATGCCGATAATATTAAATGGCATGTATGGCGTGACATGTTTGTGGGTACTATTGGTGTTTCCTTTCGTCAAGTGCGCACTGTCATTAGTAAATTGTGTTGTTGCGGTATTCTTGAGGGAGATAAAAGGGGTGGCCGGCAACAATTTGACCGAGATTACCAGCTGAGACAAGTCATAAGCCGCATCTCGAAATTCCCACAAAATGGAATCGCACTACTGTCGAGCAAACTGTAAGTGCCAATATCTGTCTTCTGATTTAAATTTCAGTATCATGCACAGGATGTACAGGCAAGACAATGAACATGTCGCATCTATCTCATTTTGCAAGAAAGTGTTTAAGTCGTTAAATCTAAAATTTCACCACCCTAAAAAAGACATGTGTAGCCTGTGCGATAACTACAAGCGCTCAGGTAAAGAACAGAAGGCATTGCTGCAAGAGCGGTATACTAGCCACATCCAAGAGAAAGATAACGTTCGTGAGCTAAAGAAAGCTGCTAAGGAAAACACATAAAAGAAGCATCGAGCAACTGTCTTCGATTTCCAGCAAGTTATATACCTGCCCAAATCACCCAGATCTGATTTTTTTTTTTTTTTTATAAACGACGTTTAGCGTGTTATAATTTCACAGTTTATGAGTTGGGGAGCAAAGACAGATTTTGCTTTCTCTCACATGAGGTCATAACACGCCGTGGATGCTGTGAGACTGCGTCATATCTCCATCATTATCTGCAGAAAGTGGACACGGAAGGTGTTGAGAAAGTTGATTTCTTCTCAGATGAATGTGTGGGACAGAATAAAAATGTTATCCTCCCTGCCATGATGATGAACTTCTTGGAAAATTCGAAATCTGTAGAAGACATCAAGTTGTACTTTTTTGAGACAAACCACGGCCAATCCGAAGGTGATCCTGTGCACAGTACGATAGAGAGGGCCATGGAGCGTATATCAGAAATTGCCCCTGATCCGTACAGCATAATTAATGTACAGTCTTCCGACATAAGACTGGAAGCTTTACAGTCAGAAAAGGGGGATTTTCAGGGTGAGAAGGTCCTTGAATGGCCAGAAAATTAACTGGACCAGCTTTATGCAGATCCATATCAACAAGCGTAAGCCTGATGAGATCAATTTTATGTACTCACACTTAGATCCGAGGTTTGACACAATACAAATTAGCAGCACCCGTCAGCATGCAGATACACCAGATATAATTCCTGATCCAGAAGAATTATATAAGTCCGGTGCCCCAAAACTCTCGGACGCGAAATATCAAGACCTCATAAGCTTATGCTCTGGACCTGCTCCAGTAATTTCCATTCCAGAATACCAATCATTTTATAGACAACTCCCACATTAAATTACAAATTCACCAACATATTTGCTTTCACTTACAAAATCAATTTAACACTCGTCAAATCTCAGGTATTCAAAACCAGCTTAAAAGAACAAAATATCACCAAATATCAATTACAGTAGCATTAAGTGCTTATATTTTTCTCTCAAAATATAGCTTTTGCTCAAATTAATATTAATTGATTAAATGAATGATTGATCGAGTGATTAATAGATTGATTGGATAGTTGGTTAATTGGATAATTTGTTGGTTAAGTAGCTAAGATATTATTTATTTAAGTTTTATCCGGGACCACAAACACAGGCTCTGCCTCCTTGGTTTCTTATCATAAATTATGTTTATAACTATGTTTATAAGTGAAATAAATATGAACTCATTATTTTTTTTATACTCCCAGAAACATTGATTCTTCTTTATGTTACTAGATTGTTCATATCATCATGTCGGTAATATTATTGTTTCATTTCATTTCACACTGTTGTACAGGTATGTTTAAGTATAAAATTCAATTAAACTAATTAAACTACAATGTACTTATGACAATTAATTGTTAAAACTGTACGATAATTTATCATGCATTTATGTATAATAATAATTAAAAACGTTTGAATTTCGATGAATTTAACAAAATTCGACCGTGGTTATGTCTACTCCGAAGTGATGGAACCAACGTGCTCATTGACAAGTTGACGTAACATCGGAGTAGATGAAACCACTGTGTTAAAATTAATATTAAAATTTAAATCAATTTAAAAACACAAAATGAATTTAAAAAAAAACTTCTATTGAAGGTGGTTAATGCCATTGGGCCGAAACAAAAATTCTTGTGTTGACCATGTTCTCGACCTCGTAAAATTGTTTCTAAATAAAAATAAAGGCCTACTACTACAACTACAAATAATTACATTCGTTTATAAAATAGGCCTATATTGAAAGCAAAACGAATCGCATAACATTGTCGCAACGCTTACTGTCAAGCAAAAAGGGCTAGGCCTAGATTAGGGGTCCTAGGCCTATTCCAGCCTGTTTAACTCATTAAAATAATATTGTTCATCGCAGTAAAAAATATATATATATAATACCGACCAACAAGTTCGTATATTTTAGGCCGGTCTGGCGTGGCCAACACATTTTTTTTTTTATTTAGCCTTACGTAATTAACATTGAAAAGATAAAAATGTGATGAATGTTGATGAAAATATATAATACGAAATGTTGAATAAAAGTTAAATTTGAACATAACTGTTAATTTATGATGTATTTTTACTAATCCTATAGTAGGCTACTTGTGATGGTGCAGAATTCCTGTGCAGTTACTGGGCGTGCTCATTCATTTTACCAAAACAATTACGAATTATTTAATTTTAGATTAGTGCTAGCTATATATAACTTGTAGATGATAAAGTACTGTGCCTTTCTGGCATACACTGTAGACGACATAAAAACAAGTGTAACCGAATTGCAATCTTGACTGTGCCGGTAGCGGCCAGAGGACGAAATTGCTCTCTTATACACATCTAGATGTGTATAAGAGACAGGGTGTTTCCTTTCGTCAAGTGCGCATTAAACAGTATTGATGCTATAGAAAATAACATAATATTGATGGTAATTACTTGAAAAACAACCAAATCTAAATATTTCCATGAATTACAACAATTGGGATAAAAATATTAATTTCCTGGCAACTTCTAAAAATTATATAGCGCCACCTACAGTAAAGCGTTACGACAGTGAAAAATGGCGACGTACATAATCGCTTACCATGTGCGACAAGCATTCGTAATAACATTACCCTTACTAAAATCATGTGTAATCGAACAGACTACATTAAGCAACGATGGTAAACATAATGATATACTGTAACTCAATTACAACAATAGTCGCATAATGCTTCATACAGTAAATAATTAGAAAATTAACAGCGATTACAGAGACATTTCTTATTACAGTGCTTATTCAAGGGCACCGTACGATAGTTTTCATATTTGGTCTGGCTAGCTAGGCCTAACAAAAGAAAATTAGCTAAACTATATAATTCAAAGCGTATGCAAATTCAGCATTACAAATTATTGATCAGAAAAAGTCAATTTACCTTTTACATTAGTTGTCATGGACAACTCTACAGAAAAACAGCATTTAAAACATCAATCAACAATATAAAAAACAGAGACTGGTTTCAGAACTCGGCATGTTATCGCGTCTGATCATATTACGTGAAGCGCCCTCTATTTGGACTTGAGACTAAACAGAACATTGACGATTAAAAAAAACACAATCATCCTATCACATAATCCTAATAACTACAGAGGCCTACATTTTCAATAACATGGATTTAATCCTAATAAATAGGCTACTACAGTTAGACCAGGCTATAATTGAGATAGGTGCCACTTGGAGAGGTAGAAATTCTCATATGGTTTTTCTAGACCAGTTTTTTATGGGGAATCAGAATATGCGAGGTAAAAAGGGCGTAACCTGAGAACTTTCGCGTGAGGGCGCTTTTTTCAAAATGGCTGCCAAAATCCAATAAACTACATATATATGGGTAAAATAAGCACAGAAGAGGTAGGTTTGACCAACTTTGTTTGACCAACTTTTGAATATGTAATGATAGGAGTAAAGTATAATTAGCTAAAGTTATTAATGTGAAGATTTCGAGAGGCAATTGAGGGCGCTTTTTAAAATGGCGGCCAAAATTAAAGAACAGCTTAACAGCAGCTTCGGTACCCTAAATAAATTTGGTTAATTTACAAAACATGAATGTAATAACTGCTGTTGACTTTTTATATCCAAAATAACATATTTTAGGGTGGTGCGCTGACTCACTTTTGGAAATGTAAGTAAAAATGCTCCCTTATTTTAATCCTATTCTGTTTTGAAGAATGGAAAAACTATCACCAGAATCCTATAAAAATCCAGCTTCCTTACAATATCGGGTTGTTTTTCATTATTTTTGTGTACTACACAAGGTATTCCAGAGGACCACACAAATAGCTACCATAATTTTCATGTATAAAGGCATTAATTCATTTATTACATAATTATCCTTTACTGTGTAACCCTATGTTGAGCAATATTCTTCATGTATTGCTAATCACATTGCAATTAGTACAAGAAAAATACATCTTAGGGTTGAAAAACAGAATTTTTGTTTGCACAGTGCATTTTCTTAAGGTCCCTGTATGAACATTAAAAATCTAGAAAAATCTAAATAGGGGAAGTGGGTTTTTTTTTTCAAAATGGCCGCCAAATGGCTAATTTTAACCAAAAATTGGGGAAAAAAACTTGATATTTTTAACATATTTCAACATATTTTTTTGTCTAAAATATATTTACAAATCCTAACGTTTTTCTGATGCATAGAGATACATTTATTTGATTTGGGTATCATTAATTTCAAGATGGCTGCCACAAATACGACGACATATTTAGTATTTAGTATATAGTGGTGTATGCATAATACGCCAAGCAGCTATGGTGCTATATAACTTTTTACATGTTCCTATGGTCATAGAATTCAATTTTTCACAGAAACCATTTTATCGGAGGTCATTATGGCAGCCATCTTAGATTTCAAAATGGCCACCTTATAAAACCTTATTATCCACGGTATTATTTCCTCTTCTAACTTGGAATTATAATTATAGTGTCTAAATGGCCAAGGAATACTAGCATGCCATTTTTGATCTGTTAAGATTCTTCATTTAAGGTAAAACTTAAGGCCATTAACTAAATAATCTGACCAGATTCTTCATTTAAGGTCATTAATTTAAGGACATTCCAGGTCATTGCAGGTCAAATATTGTATGGCATCTTAATAATTACCTAACTGCCATGTTTTACATCTGAATCATACTGAAGCTCTTCAAATCCATTTTTACTAGAAACTACAGTACTTAATTCAGGGTAATTTTGGCAGCCATCTTTAATTTCAAAATGGCTGCCGTGCAAAAACTATATTTATTAATATCTTAGCTTTTAAAATCACTTCAAATTAGAATTCTGATATTTAACACTATGTTTTTGTGGTAAGGAAAATATACATATGATCATCTATATATAAATATATAGTTATT